TGTCACGAAACCAAGGAGATCATGGCAACTGCACTTTTTGTATCATAGCACGATTCTCACTGCATCTTCATTGGGATAAGGATACAGCGCTTGTAGCTCGGCAATATACGTGAAAGAAAAATTAGGTAACTCAGAATAACAAGTCCAAACAGTTAGACCAATTGGATTGAGCTTATGTATTGAGCCTTTATTTTTGCTTATGTACCAACCGGGCACATCAACAGTCTCATAGTTCTTGGTCACCTAAAAGAAATCATCACCATGTAAGTCTTTGTCCGATGTGCTGGTCTCCAAGTGCTCACAGTTTGGTCTTACTTTCAAATACAAATTAAAACCATATGTTTTATGGCCGAGCATGTATTGGCACAATATCTCAGCTAAACCTAAATTCAAATCAAGCTGGCGATTCAACTTAACAACTTCGCTTATTATCCGGAATGTGTTGGTAGATACTTGTGTGGGGCACAACCTGGTTCGTCTTAGGAACTCACAAATTAAGGGTTGAACAGGGAAGTGGAGACCTCTTTCTACTATTGACAACACGATAAAAGGGCAAGCATCTGTTCTGCCACAAGGAAGAATATTTTCATCGCCTAGTTCAAAGTGAATATCTGTCGGAACGCCATAATCTTTACGAAACTCGGCCAGTCCGCCCAGCATGTTTATAAGGAAGTGATAGCGCCCCATGGAGCTCTGTGTAATCTACTTGGTAGAATGTGTTGGTCAATTTATGAACAGCGACTGCTCGGCCTTTGAGAGCACTTCTGCTAGTATACCTGGTCTCCTAGGACTCTGCATGGTGAAAAAAAAAAGTTAAGTATAAGTCATAGTGCAGTCACGCAAATGAGCTGAGTTTTAGCTTGGCCGCACAGACGAGCTGGGTTTTAGCTTAGTCGCAAAGCTCGGTCGCGCAAATAAGCTAGATTTTAGCTCAGATGTGAAAATGAGTTGGGCCTTAGCTCAGTTACGCAAATAACTTGAGCACTAAGCTCTGTCACATATATAGGCTTGGTTTTAGCTTGGTTGCACAAATGAACCAAATATTAGCTCGATCGAGCGATTGCCTATTGTAGACGTTCCCGAACGTCCCGGGAGGGAAATCCCGTCCCGTTTTGTTCATTTCGGCTTACTACAGTTCAGGACTCAATATCATGGTCCTGTATCTAATCTCGCAGAGTGCAATGCAAGACCGATGGATAATCAAAGAGTCCAAATCCGGCAAATCGTTTTGGAAAACTAATTTTTTAGAAAGAAGTGCCAAACATGGACTACTTTGCCAGATACAGAGTCGCCACCTAAATATTTTATTTTGGAGAATTTAGGAAACCCTGACTCATTGCCTAAGGCCACGTGTTCGTCATCACCAAAGTTGCCTTGGCTCGGGAACTTGGGTACGATTGGGGAAGGTCAACTATGAGCACCCCCGCTCGCCTGATCAAAGATCGGCCTCTACTAACCATGATATCTCGTTTTTGAAAACACATGCGTTCTTATTCCGATTGATTAGCTAGAATTACTATGTGATGCGCACAGCAAAACAAGTATAGACTAGATTGCCTAATTTGGAACAAAGCATTACATATCCGTTTGTTTGAAAATGTTTTGAAATTTGTTACTCACAAGTAGGCTAAATACGGATTTCAATGAATCATCCCAATTCAAATAATCCAACCTTCACCCACAGGCATTCAGGCAGTTTATCACATAAGCATATAGCCACATGGTAAGCATGCTGTCATGTTAATATTCACACTCATGCGAGATGCTAAAGCATAAATACTTACATTGTATTCCAAGCCAAAATAGAAACTGGTTAGTAATCAAATGCATGATCCTAGTTCATGTTAGCAATGGCTAATGTAATACATACAGAATGCAACTAGAAATAGGCTCAGCTACTCTAAGATGACATTTGAGATGCAATTGATACATGTATTCAAATTAGAATTGAAATACGATGCAGTTAGCATGATGTGTCGAGCCCGGTGCATGCAAGACAAATGAAATGGATGCACGAATGCGAAGCATAAGTATGCTAATTGAAAAATGACCTAAAACTAACCAACAAAAGCAGGTAAGTAAAAGGAGTAATCTCTAGAACCGGCCTTCACATACAAACAACAAATATATTTTTCAAAATATTCAAAATTTAATTGATAAAAAATAATTAAAAAGCTTATCATTCTTATAATTGTTTACATTTTTTTATTAAAAATTGATAAATTCATGGTGCCTTTACTCATGTGAAAAAAGGACAATGAAATTCAAAAATTATTACACAGGTAAGGGAGGTTAGGAAGACTACGTGACTATATATATGTCCAATAGTGTATTGTTATTTGTCCATTATTTTCTTATTTTGAAGTTCATATAATTGTTAGACTCCCTGTTATTGATTTAACACACTACCATCGTAAAATCTTAAAAAAATAGGATAATTACTTGAAATAAGATCATATAAAATGATGTAGAAATTATGTCATTTTTTTTTTAACCAATAAAATATTTTATTTAGAGAGTACATTCATTCACATATCAAAAGTATGAGAAAATTTTCAGAGGTATAATTAAAATTCAAAAAAATTGACACAAAAGTCATTGTAGTATAGCGGTGAGGATTTTTGCTTGTCACGCGGACGATAAAAATAAATGAAATAAATGATGAAAATTGATCTATAAATACCTCACAAATAAATGAAAGAGGTTATATTTTTTTTATTTTCACCGATCCGAAGTGTTTAATTAGGGTTGTAAGGCCACGTTTGGGAATAGGCTAATTTAGTAACTTTTTGGTTATTTGGCTAAAGTATGAGCTAAAAAAACTAGTATGTTTGGGATGACTTTTTGATTTTTTACGAAAAGATGTGTAAAAAATAGAGAGAAAAGAGAATCTTTGACTTTTTTGTATAAGTTATTAGTTTTTTGACTTTTTTAATAACTTTTTGACTAAATCAGAGGGTTCCCAAACGAGACCTAAAAACCCAATTCATTATTGCAAAAAATATTTTCTTCCCGATCTTTAAAAAAAATAATAAAAAAAAAACTCATCAACCACAAAAAAAAAAAAAAATGAAAAAGATGATGAAAGTAGAACTATAAATGCCTCACAAATTATTTTTTATTAGAAAATGTATGACACTAATCATTTCACCTTTTACATTCCAAAATCATAATATAAAAAAGATTTAAGGGTAAATTACAAAAAAAATATATATATATTCAAGGTTTCGCGGGTTTCGCGTGTTTTTCAATTTAAATTCTAAAATTTTAATTTTGACAAATTAAATTTGAAATTTCTTTCGTGTTTTAATGTGAACCCTCCGTCCATATCTGTTTGATTGAACTAATGGAATATGGGTAACATTTTTAGATTCAAACACATATGTTCAAACACTTGTATCTTTCTTGTCGTAATTTTGTTTCGCCTCATTTTTGTGTCATTAGATTCACCTCATGGCCTAATTTTCATTTCACCACTCATATACCTTATTCCACCTCTTTTTGCTTGCTGTTGGAATTCTGTAAGTTGGCCAAAAATAAGATTTTTCTTTCTTTGGACAAAATTTTCAAATTTAAACACACATATTTAAGTACTTGTATCTCCTTCGTCGTAATTTTATTTTGCCTCATTTTTGCGTGGTTAGATTCACCTTATGACCTAGTTTTCATTCCACCCCTCATAAGCCTTGTTCCATCTCTTTTTTTGCATATTATCGGAGCTCCGAAAGTTGGCCAAAAATAAGATCTCTCTCTCTTTTCTTTCTTCGTCGATCTTCTGTCTTCATGCTTCTTCCTTCATCTTTCATTTCCACAATTATTGTCTCTTTTCCTCTTTCTTCATGGCCCTTCCCCACTCATATGTTTCTTTCCGTTCTTGTAAGTCATATACATTTATACTCGACGACACCGCCACTGTTAGAGGTTCGATGACCACCACGAACTCGGTGAAAGGGCCATGAAAGAAAAGGAAAAAAGAGAATAATTGTGGAAAAGAAGTAGGAAGGAAGAAGTATGGAGATAGAACATAGAGGGAAAAAAGAAGAGAGAGAGAGAGAGAGAGAATAATTTTATTTTTGGCCATCTTTTGGAGCTTTGATGGCATGCAAAAAGAGGTGGCATAAGACATATGAGGGATGAAATGAAAATTAGGCCATGAGATGAATCTAAAGATGCAAAAATGAGGCGAAACAAAGTTACAATAAGAAAGATACAAGTGCTTAAACATATGGGTTTGAATATGAAAATGTTGCCCCAAAGAGAAAAAAATCTTATTTTTGGCTAACTTTCGGAGCTCTGTACAAAAAGAGGTGGAACAAGGCTTATAAAAGGTGGAACGAAAACTAGGCCATGAGGTGAATTTAACGACGTAAAAATGAGACAAAACAAAATTATGACGAAAGAGATATAAATGCTTAAATATGTGTTTGAATCTAAAAATTTTGTCTAAAGAGAGAAAACTCATATATTTGGCCAACTTTTGGAGTTCCAACTGCATGCAAAAAAAAGCAAAACAAGGTTTATGAGAGATGGAATGAAAACTATGCCATGAGGTGAATCAAACGACACAAAAATAGGCAAAATGAAATTACAACAAGAAATATACAAGTGTTTGAACATGTGTATTTGAATCTGAAAATTTTACCCAGATTCCGTTAATTCAATCGAACGGATATGAAAGGAAGGTTCACATTAAAACACAGAAGAAATTTCAGGGTTTAATTTGTCAAAATTAAAACCCTGGGATTTAAATTAAAAAGCACGCAAAACCTTGAAATTTTTTTTGTAATTTGCCCAAAATTTAAATATATTATTTTGATTTGAAAAAATTTAGAAATCGAAATGTACAATTCTATCACAGTTTTGTGACTAACGTTGTGATTAGCACTCAAAATCATTTGGTGCTGAAATTCTCTTTCCCATTCTCACCAAGACCAACAGAGCTCAGACCCTAAACAGTATTTTTAACACCTTAATTAATTTGGGTTTCAAAGTTCAAGGAATAACAAGAGAAATAGCACCTGAATGTCATTAGTCATGGAGATTCTTACACTAAAAATGGAGTCAAAGGCCTTTGGATGGACCTAATTTTACAACTATAATACATCACAGCAACCCCAACTCCAAAATAACTTCTTTTTTTTGTTTCTTATTTTTGTATCTCAGTCAGAACATATATCAAAGTCAATATCAATTATTGGTATGCAACTTCAGCAAAAATATCATCAAATAAAAGGCATCCTATGGCAGCTGAGGCTATTCTTCCTCAAACTTCATTTTGCTATTCCGTGGAGTAATTGTGGCCCTTTGGGGATCAGTAGCACTGGCGGAAGCAGAAGAAGAAACCTTGTGGCTCGTTTTCCATTGGGGTTGTTTCCGCAGAGTCATCTCTAACAGGCATCAAGGAACTCGTACCAGGAGACTCCGGTGGCAACACAGCATTCTCAGAAGCGAAAATCCGAGGTGGGACAGCAGGCTCTGGTGGTGAAATCGCAGAGAGATAGTTTAGAAGCATTTGTATAATTTGGCTGAAGTTGGGCCGAGCATTTGGGTCCTCTTTCCAACATGAAGTCACGATTAAAGCCAGATCTTCTGGGAGGTCATCGGCACTAGGCCTCACATTCTGAAACAACAAAAGCAAAATATCAAGTCATGGCTGACCAACTGTTCAGAACCCCAACCAAACAAGCTCGCCGCTGTTGATCATCAAATTAGTTTAAAACAAACATTTGAGCGAAAATTGTTCACTAATGTGTATTTTGTCTGAATGTCATTATTTGATCAACATCATGGAAGAATGAAATCTACTTAAACCATTCACCCACGCTGCAGAAAATGGTGACGACTTTGACAATGTAAAGCAATACAACTGCAAATTAAAAACAAAACAAAACAAAACAAAACAAAAGTGAAGGACGAGGAAGAGAATACTTACTTTGAAAGCAGCAGCATAGGCTGCCTGTAGATTTGACATGCCTTCAAATGGTAACTTATTATGAATGAGCTCCCACAAAACAATTGCAAAGCTATAGGCATCCACCTTGTGATTATAATGCTTCTTCTCTCCATGCCTCAAAGTAACCGTGCTGTAAAGCTGCAATAAAAAATAAAAAATAAAAACTAAAAATGCGAGAGGGGAAAGAAGGGAAAGAAAAAAAAGAAGGCAGCTCTGCACCATTCAATATTGTACCTCGGGAGCCATCCAACGATAAGTTCCGGTTTCAGCAGTCATCATCTCTGTTAATGACTCTTCTCTTGCCAAACCAAAATCCGCAAGTTTAACAGTTTTGTGATCTGCTGTCAAGAGTAAGTTATCTGGAAAACAATAACATCAAAGACAAATCACCATCTTTGTTACAGGTGGATCCCAAAAACAGGCAAGGGAACCTAGAGAGAGAAAAATGTGAAAATAAAATTCAACGAATATTATGGCACATTGTATCTATTAGGTTGCTACAAGTTACTATAAAGAAAACAGCATTCTAGGCTCAGTTATTTATAAATTTGGCCATTCATCAAAGAAAAGCATAAAAGGCTTGTATCTGTCTATAGACAAAATGCTGCACAACATGGCATAGTCGGACATCGTATGAAATGTTAAACTGTAGTGGCGTCTCCACCATTAGTTGTCAGTGACTATCAATATATTTTTCCACAAGGTCATCCATTCATTTTGCACTCGTTCACTAAACCAACGATGAGTAAATCCGTATAAAAATATGTTGCAAAGCAAAACAAAATAACCCGGGGACAAAATAGGTGTCAAGAATCAAAAGAAACAAGGCAAGCCATTTCATGACCGTAAATCTGATATAACTGTACAGAAAGAAAGTCTCTGATCACAGCATCAGCACTCTAATGCCTATCAAATATTCCTACTTCTATACATCACAAGACATGCATAGTTCATCCTTCACTAATCGAAATAGTTTTGTAAGATTGAAGGATTGCACTCATTACTGCTGGTTATTTCATGGTCTTCAAATAAATAGTCTTCACCAGTTTCCTTAAATCATCTCTGAAAGGAAATAATTTAAAAAGAAAAAAGCTTATTACAAGGCATAAATTTTTAGCAAGTGTGAAATCATTTACATGTGTTATGGTAGCAGAAATTGGGAAATTTTCTAGAACATCCCAGTCAGTATTAGCCCAAAAGAACTTACTGTTTGTAGATTCTATTGATTTGTCAAAAAGATTATTCATTTGGCTATCAGCTATTGGTATCTCTAGTTTTCCAAAATTCTCATATGTTCTTTTTCCAATTCAATCTCAATGGCATCAGAATATCAACATATTTTAACAATTTCCAATCCCTTGAAGAATATATCATGCTTTAATCATATAGACTGACTAGACATCATTCCAGACTTTCTGGAAGCCTGGTTTGTCTCAAGGAACAATCAAATAATATGAAAATGGGCAGTTGTGCCCCATCCACAAATTGGGTTTGCACAAATCACAATCCCACATAAAACTCATGCTAAACATAAAGGCAAAGTTCTCTTCACAGCATCAATCCAGTCATGTAATCAAAGGAGCATACAAATACTCAAAACAAGGACATTAGAATTTTTTTAGGTGTCAGTTCTCAGTTCTTCAACAACACAAGTTGAGGGTAACACATCAACAAAAGTCACAAAAGATTTGAGTAGCAATAGCTATATTTGGCGAACACGTTTGTGAACCTTTGAAGAATGCTTTAAAGTTCTATTATGAAATAAAGGTTTAAACAGAAGAACATGGATCCATAAAAGTTTCCTGCTTCTCCTATGTTCCAATGTTCCTTCTGACATGGTTGCAATGGGGATTTAGAATAAATAACCCAACTGCAGAAGCTCTGCAGTTGATAGTAGTGTTGTCTAATATGGGACCAAAATATCAAATACTCTAAACAAGGCTATATTTTCAAATTTAATAACTTGACAATCCCATGAAGAATATTGATAATAACTAGTACCAGGCTTCAGGTCACGGTGTATAATCCCATGAGAGTGTAAGCATTCCATTGCACGAGCAATATCAACTGCAAACCCAATTGCAACATGCATATCTAAGCACCTTGGCCGCATGTTCAGCAAATATTTTCGCAATGTCCCACCCAGTAGAAGTTCAGTTACAATCACCATGATAGGTTCCCTACAAGCTCCAATGAACTACAGACATACAGTAAAACTCAGTCATTGTCAATATGGTCTCTTTTGCAAATTGAAAATCATCCACATAACGACTAACATTAGCTTCCTATTTCTATTTACAATAAATGAAAAAAATTAACAAAATTTTAGAAAATTGCTACAATGTTAAAACAAATAACCTTCACTAAGTTCTTGTGTTGAACTCTAGATAGCATTGCAACCTCTCTTGCAAACCGACCTTCCCTCTTCACAATCTCCTCTGGGGTGTCCCCTTTATGAATAATTTTAATTGCAACATTCTGGTTCTTATATCTGATGGACACCAAATGAACAAACAACAATTAGTCAAAAACCACCATAACCAGCAGCACATTTCCCAGTGATTCAATCTAATAACTAAGGAATTACTAATCAGCATTCACCCGAGATTTTTATCAGAATAAAAGGTGTTGCAAGTTTGCAAGCACAATTTTCCTTTTTTAATAACTGAATACAATATTTCTACTAATCCAATCAATAATTTTTTTGTTTGGGGTCTTTCTGGTATTTGTTCAGCGCTCAATTTGATGTAGTTCTCATGATATTTGTAATTTATCTACTACATACTTGGGAAAAAAAAAAATCAATAATTATTCTAGAAAACAATTTACTAGCAAATATATCAGTAAAATTCTTTGTTCACATTTCTCCTTTTTCATGGAAAAATCACTAAATTAATGCAAAGAAAATAGGAGTATTGCAAGTAAAATTAACTTACTTTCCCTCGTACACTTTGGCATGAGCACCTTCTCCAATCTTGGGCCCAACAAAGAGAAGCTTTGGATCAACCAACCACTTGGCATCTAAATTGAACTCTCCCACAGAGTAGAACCCATTTCCAGATCCCATCACCTCTCTCTCTCTCTCTCTCTCTCTCTCTCTCTCTCTCCCTCTCTCTCTCTCTCTATATATATATATATATCAAAATTATCAAAGAACCGAACAAAGACTCACAAATACAAAACCCACTTACATCGTCACGATTTTCAAGTAACACATATCAACAAAATTAACTAAAAGACAAGTTCATAAATGAGTGTTACAAAACAGATCAAGAAATCTCAACAGATGCCCTCATTTGGGAGGCAAGCAAATAACATGCTTTTGAGAGAAACCCAACAACAACAAACGCACAACTTTAAAAATTCAATTAAACAGACATTAAAGCAGAACAAACTCTGCTCAGGAACAGAGAGAGATAAACAGTGAAAACAATCAAGAAAGAGAGACTTTAATGGGAAATCGAAAAATTGCAGATAAAACTCAACGACCCAGATGGGGTTTTGGGTAGTGGGTGAAGAAGTATGATTAATCGTCACTACGCGTATTGGAATCAATTACTCTGGTTTTTGTTCTCTTGATCTGCAGAGATAAAAAAGAAAGAAAGAAAGAAAGAAAGAAAATCCGCGCAAAGAAATGAGTCGATGTCAGAGCACAGTGATGTCTACTATTTTTAAGGACCGAATATATTGTCACATTATTTGATATAAATTAAATAAAAATACTTGGCACTCCCTCTTTTGCTTTTTCTTTTTTTTTTTAGGGGGGGGGAAATTCTCACAATTTCTTTTAAATTTTAATAATTGATATATGTATAAGACCTATATTATCAATAACTTATATTATCGATAATTAAGATTTAAAAAATTAAAAATGAATCTCAATCATTATTTAAATTAAATAATAGATGTGTTATATTATTATTATTATTATTTTTATATATATGGTTATGAAATATAAAAAATATATATTTCTCACTAAAAATCTCATCCAACCTAATTCACCAAACAAACATTGCCTTAGAATTCACCTAAAAAAAATGAATCAATAGTTTAAATTTACTTTACTCATAGCCTCACAATTTATTAATTTAATTTTTACTATAAAAATATAGAAAAATAGGTGGTAGCTCGAAATGGGTGAGAGTCGAATGGCCCGAAATTTGAAAACCACGTCGTTTTGCGATTTTCTTCTTCTTCTTCGTTGAACACAGGAGAACAGAGGGGAAGAGGAGGAGAGAGGGAGAAAGAGAGAGAGAGGAGAGGAGAGAAGAGCTCGTTGCCTCTGTCTGCCGTCCTCGTCGCAGCTCGTCGCCTCCGCCCGATCGTGCCTCCGCCCCCCGCCTCCGCCTCCAGCCCTAATAATTGGGCCCCCTCCAGTCCTTCTCCTCCTTCCTCCTCCTCCTCCTCTGATTTTCTACTTCTTCTGGAAAAAAAAAAAAAATGACACCAAAGGGAGGGGATGAGCGGAATTGTGTGTGTTTGTGAGAGGGTGGGTGTACAAAGAAAAATGGGTGGGCGTACAAAGCAATTCGGGCCTTTCAACCCACGCCATTTCGAGTTACAAAATGGGGTTGTTATTTTACTCACATGTTAATAAAATATATTTTTTTATCCTTAATTATTAATTTTATTTAATGTGTAATAATATTAAAATAAAGATTGAGAGTTTTAATTTTGAAACAGTAAAGAAAATCTAATGATATGGTAAAAAATAGAACTCACGTGTGCTGTGATATATGTGCCTAGGTTTTTGTGTTTTTCTTTCCTTTTCTTACCACATCATTAAAACTCTCTTTAAAATTCTAAAATTAAAATTTTCTATCATTGTTGATATTGAAAGTGGATAGTCTACCATTTTAGCTCATAAGAGAAAAGCCAAGTGGTTTGATGTTTAAGTTCAGTTTTTACTGTTGTAAATATTTGTTTTTTTTCCTTATTTCACTTATTTTTGTGGTTAAGAAAAAATAAACAACAAAAATGTTTAAAAGCTAATGAAGCTTTTAGGAGTGGTGATACCTAATTGATGTGATGTTTTAATATTGATTTTTGTTTTATTATCAAGTGTATGGAGCTTTGTTTTTAAAGGAATAAATCATTGTCCAATAAATAGTGAGAGTGTTTTGATTACATATTATCATGTATAAACAAAACATTTTATCATATGTTTAAACAAAATTGATCTCCTTCAAGATAGTTACTTTTCTAAAATATTTTGTACACTCTAATATGGTAATCTATGCCACATGAAAACAAATCTCAATACATGATCTTTTGATTGAGGGTGGTTTTGAACAAAAAAAATTGTACTCTATCAGTTATGTCTTATTATTTTTTAGATATGTTTTATATTAAATTTAAGGTTTTTTTTTTTTGTATAGTACAAATTATTATTATTGTTTTGATTGTGTATAGTACAAATTGTTGAATGTGATGAATTGATGAGTAATGTAATTAGGCTTTGAGATGAAAAAATAAATTAAAATAAATGCTTTTACTTATGCTTATTATTATTTTATATGTTTAAAAGTTAAGATGATTTCTCAAAACTAAAAAGCAAAGGAAATTTTTCCATTTTAAGTTTAACACGCTTAGTTAGTAATTAAACCACGTGAAAACAAATCATAGCATTTTTTTCCAAATTTAAAAATTAGGTATGAGGATTTGTGTATTAAATTACAAAAATGGTGATATCCACTTCCTAAATTGTGAACTTTAAAGAGAGGGATATATATATATATATATATATTTGATTACAGGTGCATTTGCTACCTAACTTGCAGGGTCACGCATTAACAATTAACTAACTTGTCTGACCTCGAGCTACTTGGATCTCTACACATATTAGTTCATTGGTTTGACTATATCTGATATTTTTTTTAATAGTATACTAATTAGTGTAACAACACTAGCTATAATATTATTATTGACCTCATTCATTATACAAATTATAAATATAAAAAATATCTTAAATTATGTTACATCATCAATTGGTACATTAGTTAGTTAGTATACTAGTGGATGCATATAACATTATTCTTTTTTTTTAGTAATTTAAATGAATAATACTATATGCAGCAATTAGTGTACCAACTAGTATACCAATTAATGATGTGGCATAATTTAAGATATTTTGTATATTTGTAATTTGTATAATGAGTGGGTTCAATAATAATGTCATAATTAGTATTGATACATTAATTGATATATATAGCACCACCGAATTTAAATAAAAACATTAAAGAATGAGTATATGGTTTGTGTGTATCGAAGTTTTTGACCAGCGCACGCAAGCGATGTCAAATTTTGATATTATTATTTTTAATGAAAGTGAATTGCCATGAAACACTGAAAAAACAATTAATTTGATATGTAAGTGGAGATATTAATGAGGTTGAGATGAAAAATAGCAAAGTCAATACAAAATTTGTCAACTACTTAAAATTGATGCTCAATCCATGGTGTAAATGCTCGAAAAAGAAAAATAAAAACTTCTGAATTTGTCAATTTGTGAATAGTTTGATTTAATTCTCCAATCCCCTGCAAAAAATAAAAAATAAAAAAATAAAAAAAATAATAAAAAATCCCATTTAAAAAATGAATTCAACACATTTTTGAGAAACGCAATTTTGATAATTTTTTTTCTAAAAGAAAAAAGAAGAAGATAATTTGGTGAAAATTAAAAATACGAATTATTTTATATTTTATTTGAAAAAAAATAAAATATTTATTTTTATTAAATTAATTTATAAAATCTAAACTAAATCTTAAAAATTAAAGAGTTTGGAAATCAAATTTATAAAATCTAAACTAAATCTTAAAAATTAAAGAGTTTGGAAATCATATTAGTATTGCAATGCGACTTTTTTGCACTGTACCCGTATAAGTCTAAATCCACACAACTAAATATCATTTAAAAAAATCCGTTAAAAAAGTCAAAATAAAATATAAAAGAAAATAATAAATCGTGTTATCGCCTTATGTTATTTATTTTGACTTTTTACAGACGGACTTTAAGATGATAGTCGGTGGCTAGCCTTCCAGTGTTGACATCTATTATTCCAATTTTCCAACTAATTTACTCGTATTAGTTACTTTTTTTTTTTTCTTTTTTCCTTTTTTTGTGCGTGTGATGACAAGAAGATACTAATTTAAAAAGCATAGGTTTAAACACCACATTATCTAGCCGGAACGAGACTGTGGACTTATTATTGAATTTTTGTATTGTGAAATTTACCCCACATCATCTAGCCGGAATGAGATTGTGCAGTTATTATTGAATTTTTGTGTTGTGAAATTTATATAAGAAGTAAATGTTGGAAAAATGGTTTAAATATAAGCATATTTTTTAGTCTAAAATTGAGTAGGTCCCAAACGTTTTTTGGAATGGGTCCGAAGAGGTGAAGTGTTCTGTGTCACGTGGCAAGTCACACGGTGAAGACGGAACGTCAAAACCATTTATGAGTTAATGGGAAGTTGACGTCGTTTTCGGGTCTAACATTAATTTTTTAAATAAAATTCATTTGAATTTTTTCAATAAAAATTATTGTGGGAATTTAATTTAATTCTAAATTTAAATTTTGGGTTCTTAAGTGGTTTCCTAAGGTTTGTAATTTTGGGAGTTTAATTTAATTCTTAATTCAAATTTGTAGTTCCTAAATGGTTTCCTAAAAATTTGATTAAACTATTTAAATAGTTTAATAAAGTTATTTCATTCAGTGAAAGGTTTTATTGAATTAACTATTCTAATAGTTTAATTATAAATGTTTCAAACAGTTTGATTAACTGTTGCACCTACAGATCATTATTCAATTTGTTTGGATGTGTGATCAACGGTCTCTACGGCCTTTTGAATTCAAATTCTGAGGTTGTCCAAAGGGTGCACCTTTTCACTTTGGAAATAAACCTCTTCGGGTCTGTTCCTTGTGCCTATATATACTAACTTTCCAGCAGTGGTTTAGGATCGAAAAAATCAGTCAGAAATTCTCCCATTTTGTTGTCTATTTTTTTTTTTTTTTCCTATTTGCATTATTTCTTCATATTAGTTTTAGAGATAATTTCAGAGAGTAT